CGACTGAAGGACAGGTTTCCTGAAATTATGGAGTTCTTTGGAGGCTTAGTCTCTCCTTTCCCTAATACCACCACGGTTGAAAGCGATTTCTCTGTCCTCAAATGGGAAAAAGATCTTTACGGATCGAATCTTACTCCATTTTCCCTGGAAGAAATATTACACAGTCGTCAAATTCGCTCTTTATTGAAGAATCAGTGAGGATTAGCACCGTTTTTCAAAAAAATGCCGTATGTTCCGTATCTTGTTCCAGTCACGCTTCGTATTTAGTAGAAATACGGAATATAAGGAATATTCCGTATCTAGAGAGGCCTGCTTATAGCGCAAGATGGTTAAGTCAAGTGTACCGTAAATAGTTACGCCTGGATGTTGGCGGACGCACTTTCTCACCGCTCAGATTGCGAGCTTCCACATATCACAACGGTATTGTTGTACATCGATGATACATAATGCGTACAAATTTTTAAAGAAGAAGGAGGGATATGCGCCATTAAAGTTCGTATATGAAGATCTTGTGCGTCACATCGGTATGGGCTACCCAAAGGTTGCTGTGATTGGCACGAACCGCATTGATACCGAACGAGCGATTGTCTACCGCTGTACTGATTTCTGTATGATTCCTTAGAAGGTCATCTAGACAAAGAAACACGAACAACTTATGGAGCACGGTATATTGGTGGCGTAAGATGCATTATTTTTGTGTGTTCTTTGGAAAACGTGTCGGCACTTTAGATTTCCTCCGCATAAATATGTATCCTTGACCAGTTTGTCGGTCCCCGACGGAGAGTTGGCAGTTTGTCAGCATAGATTTATCTTTGGCTAGACATTTAGGCAGGATGGTGTATGTTGCGGGGTTTCATGTACTCTAGTATGAAGGGGTGGGTCACACAAGATGATGTGACCACACAATGGAGTGGCAACACCTTGACAATAAGTCAGTACGTGGCTGTACTTCCAGTAGTTATGCATTTTAATTAGGTCTTAGTATTTAAATCAGGAAAATGAATAGATTTAGATATAGACGGCTTTGCCGCAAATTAAACCAAGAAATACAGCTTAAATTTTGAACGGAAGCCTTTGGTTAAGGTTGTGGTCCCTCTTGGAATAAGCGGATTACGATCAGCTACACTCATACTGGTTTCAAGTATAGAACGAGGGTCACCAACGTTAGCTTACCTTCCTCTAAGCGAAAGTGCTATGGTAGCCCCACTGCAGTGTATCTCTATGCTGTTAGCAACACCGATTTCGAAATAAGTACTGTAAAGTTGCTCCACGAAATGTAATATTCAGTCAACATGTGTTGACTTTGTTAAAAAGCCAAAATCGACGTAAGTTCTTTACGGCGAAATTCGGATGATCTTTGCTGGAGGTGCTAGATACCTGGTTACATGATCCCAGCGGACCAACTATATACTAATAACCAGACAAATAGCGTTAACCGCGGAGATACGACATACTGGTATGTCATGCTCACATTTACTCATTTGCGCTATCACACTATGCACGTCTTAAGGATATACACTATTTCATATAAATAGTTTGGTAGATCCCCGTTTTCTTTCCACACATCCATGAAGCGATTTCGGTCTTGGTAGAAGCGGAAACCTTGAATCTGATCAACATATTCATAGAAAAAAAATTGACGATATCTGGAGACTTACATGATGTTGGGCGCTGTGACATATAACGGGAAAGCAAAATGCGAGTTTTAGACGGCATAAATTTGCGACTATTAAAATTTTTTTAGGATACGCTTGAAAAAAAGGGTTACACGAACCTTGATAACAGGGATGCGTGTGTCACACGAGATGTGCATGGTTTGACCACACCCAAACAAGAATACGGGACGGGGCTAGGTAGCCAGTAGTTATGCATGTATTTTTAGATTTTACTATATATATTTAGTATATTTAGGAAAATCTAAACTTTTAAAATATGGATTAAAAAAATCAGTTTGTAGTTTAATCCATAAGTGTTATGCTCAAAGTTAACTAGAGCTTAAAACTAAGGCACTTAATATACCTGTTTCATTACGTAAGATCATTAAATCTATCGTGTATGACTAGCAGTCCACATACCCCACGGACCTTCTCTTTATCTAGTCTATTTCCCCATCGGTTACGAGTATTGATCATCATCCATTATTATAACGCTTTTTTTACAGTCTAAACCTATCTTGTCAATCCAAAGTAGAATGGTGTAGTAGAACAATGATGCGTTCCCTTTGTAATCTCCATCACCGTAATAAGTAACTCAGCTGGTTACACAACCATTGCCTGATTAATATTTCGCGCACAAAGTGACAGCATCTCGAGATATATTGCATAGAGAGTTTGACTCTTCACTCTCAAACTTGCGCCAGGTGATACATTTTACCACTCCAGAATTTCTCTACTCCATTTCGCTGTTTGTAGCGTACTGCTAAATAAAATGCCTAGAAGGGGTCGGTGCCGATCTCAAAGGTCCAAGTTGACCTCAACTCCCTCATGATGGAAAATCGAGGTCTACTTGGGGAAGAGCGCTCACAGAGAACATTCGACTCTCGGAAATTGGTATTTTTACGCTCTGCTCCTTTTGTAATTTATGAGCAGGATCTGACTGTGCAAGTGAAGATTGCCCAACTGCGAGCACATGAAGCAGCACCACATTTGCTTACTCAATCTAGTCGTGAAAAAGGAATCATACCATTGGAAATTACACGCTGCGCCGCGGCGGGCGTCTTTCCATGCTAATGAGTGTGTTCCATCTGCTTAAACACAATGTCTACTTGAAAGGCACTCTGCAACCAATTTCGGACCATGGATTCAGCCGTCACCTAATCACTGAATGGATAAACTTGATTGCTTTCAGGTGAGGCGTACGCAATTATTCAGCAGCTGCTGTTCAAGACTAAGAAGGGGGGACTGAACACTGGCTAAAATACAAAGGATATATTTTGCAAATTGCGTACTACTTGACGAAACACATTTTCTTGCCCGTCTTAAGTCGTTTAAAGCCAGCATGCTTTAAACAGACGTCATACTTGAAAACGGCAAATACTAACATCTGCAAGCACAAAACACGTTGTAAGCGTCGAGTTGAACGCTCACACCTTAGTATTCCATCGACTCCTCTACGCCAGGGCGCTTCACGAACATGGAACAAGGCGGGATCTCGCTCAATTATCGATAGCGTGTCGCACTTTGCAATTATATTCCTTTCACTGGTGATGTAAAAAACAAATTTCTCGCCCAGTTGAATGCGGCAAAGGCACCAGGGTAAATTATATTAAATTACAGTTAATACTGCATGGCTTTCCAGAGTAAAGATACCCGCTACCTTTCTCCAAACACCTTTTACACCCCCAGTAATTTTGCTAGCTCACTACCTGCTTCACACAAAATCTAGCCATGCCATGCTCACCAAAATCCAACGGAAAACGACCATTGTGAAAATGCTTGTTTTGGAATATATCAATTGTGGTGACTTTCTCCGATGATGTACGTGTAACGGTGTTACACATTTTGGAATGAAGGGGTGGGTCACACAAGATGATGTTACCACACAATGGTGTGGCTACACAATGGCGTGGCTACACCTTAACAAGAAGCCTCGGGGCCGAGGATAAGCATGGGCACTGACGTGCGGCACTTTGGTTGAAAGGACGTTCCCCCCTGGACGAAGCTGAAGCTGCAGTTTTTAGAAGTGTTCTCGCCGCTCAACCAGGCACATCACGTGCAACCACGTTTCTTCGCCGCCCAAAAGGCTAAATTGGTGGACTTTTTTAAAGTTGCACACACTTATTGCCGCGAGGACAGCCGATCCTCTCCTCGACGCGGTCAGAAAACTATGAGGGCCTCTGCACTGGCTTGGACAGAATGGAAGTTTCTCGTGTGTATCCACCTCATTTGATGAAGCGGTGCACTACGTGGCGGGACTGCCAGCATTTACGCATCTTAATCAGGTTTTACTATTTAATTCAAAACACTTGGAGATAGCTAGCACCACGAGCTATTGCTCGTTCTGGAGAATGGCGGATGCCATAGTCATTTTGGTCTCTCTCACCCAGAGCAGGATATTTTCTCCATCCTTACCCTCAAAGGTCTTAACGCTCACCATGAGCGGCCTGGGTCGGGAAGGGTCATTCGTTGTCGACGGTGGTGTCATGGGCGCAGTCGGCACCGACATCTTCTTCTCTAGGTGCTTTAGCGGAGCATTTTCATAGTTCAAAAAGCCTCTAGACGCGCGCTTATCACCTTTGGCCCTTGGCGACAAAATGTTCCACACCCTCAGGTCCCAGCAGGGACACCAGTTTTTAAGTTCGTCCTGCATGCCCTAGGCCACAAAAAAGAATTGTTCCAACCATACAAAGGATCAGCTGTAATGACACAGGTGTAGATTGACTACAAGTGCTACCAAGTGCAGCGGGGCTGCCGTAGATTTTTCGATTAGAGGAAGCTAAGCCAAGGATACTAGAACCAGTAGGAGTGTAGCGGATCCCAATCTGCTAACTCCAAGACGACCCACAACCTTAAATATATGCAGATAAATTTTCTCATTCAGAATATAAGCTGTATTTGCTTAATTTATTTATTCTAAATGTAATGCCGATATCAAATTTAAGTCGGCACAAATTGGTTGGAATGCACACCCTCAGTGCTCGTCGAGTGGGTCTGAGCCGATGGATCATAGATATGCTGTGAAAGAGAAGGCAGAGCTCCGAAGTGCCGGAAAGAGTTTAAACAACCGACAGTGTTTTGGCTATGAAGACACCAGTCACCTTCGGACTGGTTGTCCCCTGCGCAAGGCGAGTAAAGGTTCGTCAAGCTGAGACCCCGTTTCTAACCAGTTTTCTGGTTTGTCGCGGGGAAACGACAATATCCAGTAGGCGCGGAGCGTGCTACTGAGATAGAGCTGAGTTCGGTTGAGGTAGCCGACAACAGGGCCCACCCCCAAAGAGCTCCCTACGCTTGAACACCAAACGTGTAGGCAAGCCGGGCTTGCTGGTCGTATAAACGATCGTGAAGGGATTTGAAAAGCCATGAACGATCTTGCTCAACTTCAGGGCGTCAGGCAGTTATGCTCGACGCTCCACGATTGAAGGAAGCCAGCTTTATGCTGAGGCGCTGGAAGCGCGGTTGAGAGACACTGTCACTGTTTACTTTGCGACAGGGGCATGTGTCTCGGTGCCGAGGGTACCTGTGGACCTCGGCGTCAAGTTTCTTGACTTTGATAGCGTGGAACGCTGCCTAGTCTTAGACTTGGATTCAAAGTATGACATTAATCCTTGGTATGGCGTCGTTGAAACACTATGAGCCATAAAGCGATTGAAGGTCGAAGAACCTGGGCGCTACGCACACGTATCCTGGTGGAGCTTTGGTGAGTCATGAACCCTCTCTGCAGGAAGCAGAAGCGCTATTGGTGCGGGCACTGGACCGGGACGGTCAATGTGCTGGATATCGGAGTACCCGAGTTGTCAAACACCAAAAGTGTATTGGACAAGATTCCCGAGCATGGCTCGCGGGCTGAACGTGGAGTGGTACGTAACCCACTGAACCCTGATCAAGTATCAAAGCATTCGATGCATGCCAAGAGTGGCTTGGTTGGCCAAGGGCCGAGGCATCAAGAGCGAGGCCCTATTGATGCGCGTGGACTGACACGTAATCTGCTTAGCACTGCTCACGTATCGAAGAAGTTGCTGGATGCCAAGGGTGGCATGGTCTGACGAGGTTCGAGGCATCTTGGGATGTTACCTTTTGATACGCACGGAGTGGCACGTTATCCACTGGACGAAGACTGCGGAAATAAAGCTCTTCGTCGATGTTGTTAATAACATCAAGGAATTGATGGGTGACAAACTGGGGACAATAGACGACGCCGAGTGTGCGTTTCCACTGGTCCCGATGAGATGTAAATCTCTATAGAAGGGAGATAGCAAAGCCGTATGACATCTGCAAGACGCAGGGCATCGACCCTGACAAAGGGTGTGTCTACCATAGACGATTGCGTATAGCAATATACCCTTGTCAACGTTATGACAGGGGAGGAAGACGGCGACGTCACCCTCGAGGCTATTCCTGCGGTGGGCGCTTGAGCTGGACGAGATATCCTTCGAAGAGGTTGGCGGTGCCGTGAAGGCAGGCGGCTAAGCCGAGGTGGATATTATACGACCGAAGAAAGAGAACAATTTGTTGTCGCTTCTGGATGAAGATGTCCTGGAGGAAACATTAAAGGGTGTTGAACGCACGCAGTGGATCTTCAATTCTTAAGGATCTCTCATATGTACTATCCTTTAGAAAAGAAATTTCAAGACGTCGTCTTCAAAGATCCGTCGTCGGTCCTACCTTCGGACCGAGGTGTGCGTCATGAGTTTGATCTGGTTTCAGGAACCAAATACGGCGTAACACGCCAATAGCCCCTGTCCAAGGAGTAGTGTGACGTCGTTGACGACTTTTTCCGCCCGAATCACGACGCAGGAATGGTGCGTGAGAGTACGTCTCACCATTCGACACCCACATTTTGGGTCCGGAAGCCAAACGGCAAGTGGCGTATCGTTCACGCATCTAATAAGCTAAAATCTGCCACCATTTCGGCACAGACACCAATTCAAATCCAAAGCTATCTTAATGCAAGGTGAACGGCAACCCTGATGTAGTAGCAACTGTAATCGATGCAATGACCGAGTCTTACTACTTTATATATTCACTGGACATCTAGGCACAATTGGCAAGCTCTTGTATCATTAGTTTCAAAGTCATCAGGAAACTGGAGGCCTACGCTTCAAACGTTAGTGGTATTTGTCCGAAAGTGCTCACCAATAACGAGACTGACCCTGATTAAAGCTGTAGTCGGGTGCACAAATGAATTATACCCGTGAGACAACTAGTGTTGACCTTCCAGCCTTGGAGGGCTGGAAGCGAGAAAGTATATCTCTCAAGAAAACGCTTGGCAAGCTCTTATATCATTGAAGTCAAAGTGATAAGAAGGTTGGCGGCCATCGCTTCAAATGTTTAAGTGAATTCCCCGGACGGGCTCGCCAATAACGAGATTGAGCTTCATGAAAGCCCTAGCAAGGTGTCTGCTGCTTGGCATATGGGTCATACCCGTGGGACCACTAATGCTGAGCTCCAGCCGTTGAGGGCTGGGACCAAGAAAATATTTTTCTGGAGGAGGAAGTAGAGATAGTCCTTATTTTAATTTTACCATGTTCCAGACGATGCAACATCTTGTCGCACTAGCGGGCATCAAGCACGGAAGTCGCGCGAGAATATAGCATGCACGCTTAGTACCTTCAAAGAAGATTTATTCCCAACATGAAAAGTCTTGCGACGTATGTTGCGAGTGTATGCGCCACTCAATCAGGTGTACTGGGTGCATTCGCGGTTCTTGACAATCTGTCTGATGCGGCATAACTGGTTATTGATGTCCGAGAGCTGCGAGCTCTGACATTGTGATGACTATATACCTTTGCGCGATGGTGGTAGCAGTTACATTTTTATTTGGTATCTCCGAACATGTGCAGCTCGCACTGAGACTTTGTCGTCCGGCGTATCGATTTCGAAAATGGGATGGGTGTCGAATCAAATGCGGGGTACAATTACATGCCAAAACGGTCGGCTGGATAAGGGAGGTGTGAACTTAAGAGCGTACCAGCGACAATAAACATTAGCCATGCGGAGGAGGAAATAAGAAATTTATCACCTGTCGAGTGCTGGAGTTCATGTGCCACAACTTGTGGGTATACGTTTTGTATTTTTGCACAATCATTCTTGTGATTTGCAATACTGAGCTAGGCGTTCGGTCGTCTAAGTAGCTTAGTGTGGGGCTCTTATTGATTATGCGTGACTTCAATGCCCATCGTGATAAAGTTAATTGCAATAATCGTCGTGAACAAGCGTTTGTGGCTCACCAGGACTTGTCTTCCTCTTGTAATGTTCCTCCCCACGCAATCGCCGCTTTATATTGTACGTGAAACGGTGCAGTGACTAAGCAGATATTACATCTCGAAATGACTAAAAGGTGGGGACAAAAGAACGAATAAACAATGGCTTACAGACACTACTAATAACTTCGTAAATTTAACTAATTCCTTGTTTCACCACTCTGATAACATAATTTAAGTAACTCCTCGAAATTGAATTTCTTCACCGAGCAGCACCGTGATTCTCGCACGGGTTACATGTCAAACCTAGGTAACCTGCATTTCCTCTTTTCTGCGGATTGAGGTACACGGTTCGTCCAGCGAACCCCTTCAAAGGAAGCGCCAGTAGAAATAAGGCGATTTTGTAGGAAAAGTGGGTTCTATCGGATCTCGTGTAGATTGAGGGCAATGATGAAACCCCTACAGAGAGGATTTCTCTATATGAGGTTGAGCTCACAGCTTGAGTATTCAGCATCACCCTCCCGGGTTTTGTTAAGTCTTGGAAGTCCTGTCAGTTTCGAGAGAGTCATGCAATTACGAACGACGGGCGATTGTCAAAAAAGTAGACAGTACGCGAAATTTAAGATGCTGAATTTAGATCCGATGTGCGGTGCGTCTTGCAGCGGAGACACTACTTTGCTTGTAGAAGTTTTTTCTGTGGAGGTTGAGAGCTCAAATAATAACACAATATTATCTGGTCCTTGACCTGACATCGGATTTCGATCTCATCCTTGGTATGATGTAGCCTGAACACGAAGAGCTATGGATTGACTGGAGAGCGATTATTATGGATGCCACGAACTTTTTTTGTAGTGGGAGTTGCGAGTCATTAATCAAACTTTGCTTGCAGCGGGGCTGCCGTAGCGTCGCGCTTAGAGGAAGCGTAATTTCGACCTATACTTAGAGCAAGTATGAGTCAGCAGATCGCAATCCGCTTACTCCAAGAGTAATTATTGCCTTACCCAAGGCTAATTAGCTCT